TATAAGACATTTTCTCTATTTATTTTAATCCATAAAAATGGACTTAATAAAAAAATATCTCGTGACGTCATGAATAAAATGATGTAAACAATTCATACAAGTACTAACACACTCATGATAAGGCAAATTATAGAACATATAAACATATGTGAAACATTGTCTCACATCGGTTCCTAAAACATTAAATTCCCAAATCTATCATAAATATAAAAATGTGTTCTCAAATATCAAGATCATGATGATCACAAAATTAAAATCTTTTCTAAGTATGACTTTGCATAGTTCTAATATAATCATCCAAATCAACCAAACGAGAATTTTTGAATAGAAAGCAATGAAGCTTCACCAGGAACATCACATTGATATTGATAATGAAACTTCTTCTCTAATGGGTGAAGGAATTATACCTACTAGTGAGTAGAATGTCATCTATTCACAGAAAGGCCATGGTGGTTTTTTTTCATTCTTGAACTTCGCATAAATGTTGTTGTCCTTCTCATTTTCTTTAAAAAAGACAAACTTTCTTATCGTTCATCAACTTCAAATACTCGTGCCACCAGAGACTTGTTTTAACACAAAAATGGATTTCTACCCGTCTTCACCCATACATTTTTTTTTCTTCCACGAAAAACCTTTGGGTTGTGCCATATAAACGCTTTTCATACGGTTCTGCTTGAGGAATGCCGGGAACATCCATCTAATGTAACTCTAAATCGTGGTGTGCCAATAACACCATTATGATTTTAAAGAATCCTTGCTTGAGACTAGAGGCCGAAGAACTTTCATCGTAATCTATTCATTCTCTTTATGTAAAACATTTTGCTAAAAGTCGTGTCACGGGAGTTTTCTCCTCCAATCAATTCGTCACGTTTTGTGTTGTAAACCCTTTAATCAATTCCTATCAAAGGAAAACTCCAAAAATTTCTTCTAAGTCTCAAACATCGCTTGGTATTCATCAAATTCATTTCTACTTCCATAGCTTCTTGCAATTTAAACGAGTAAACGCTTCTCATGGCTTCTTCAAATGAGGTGCAGATCATCCATCCATTTTCACTTTTTTTCTTAATAGACTTCATCAATGATCAAAAAATTAAGTTTACTATTTCTCTGATTAAATTCCCTATGGTATAAAAACCATTAATTTCATATAGGGCTGTTATAGAGTTTAATAGAGAAGAGGAAATTGAATAAATGGGCCAAGCCCATAATATCTAACACATTATTCATCTTCTTTGAAGAGCTAACAACAGGTGTTGTATTAGTCATACAACATCAACAGGTATTGTGAAACTTGTTGCTCCTGAGTCACTAGAGTGGGCACGCAGTCCCTCTTCTTTTTAAGTTTTAGGTCTCTACATACCTCTACATACCATGCCCTCCCAGATCTTTCCATCTTTTCTAAAGATGGTGTATCTTCAAATATCTTATTTTTGGTTTAATTTGTTAAAACCTCATATGGCGCTTTAAGCATCACCTTAACATCTTTAAGGCTGACTACGCTATCTTCTTGTCGAACTTTAAAAGGTCCAGAAATTTAGTTTTTTCTCTGCTTAGGGGTATCGTTATTGTGACAGTCCGACTATGTTATCTTCCTGTGGGAACTTTAAAAGGTCTAGGAATTTAGTTATTTCTCTGCTTAGGGGTATCGTTATTGTGACCGTTGTACTCCTCCAATTGCCACATTCATCGTAATTAATCTTTATCTCACTCTTAATGAAGAATATCTTCCTTAATTGATCTTAATTCTTACTATTAATTTATCTCACAATTCTTCCCTTCGAAATATGGCATGAACTATACTGCCATAATTTCGAGAACTATTCAGAAAACTGTAAACGATGAGACACTTATGACTTACTTTATTCACATGATTATGCCATACAAATAAAGTTATTTCTTGATCCGTATAGGAGTACACTTTCCTCATTCTACTTCAAGAACTCGATGATGTCTTTTACTAACTGTACTTTTGCAAGTCACGTTTGCATCTTTTTCTTGCCCTTTGATTAGTATTGACCATGACGATGCATTTCTATTGTGCCATGGTCAATACTAGATACCATAAGAGCTACTCAAACTTCTCTCGCTATGCGGGATACAAAAACATATGAGTCATTATAAAACTTCTCCCGTGCGTGCAGGATTGACTAGCATAAGTACTATGACAAACTTCTCCCCATACGGGAGAAATCTATATACAAACACGCATGCTTAATCCAACATTGGTCAAATTTGACATGCATGTTACTTATTGCAACTCTTATCATAAAAACATTCACTTATACTTCATTTTCCAATTAAATCTTTCCGTTGGTTCTAATTTAATCAGAAAATTAATAAACTAACAAAAAACAGTCCTGAACTGGCTTGACGCAAGCCTTTTCATTCACATAGCCCAGCATTGCAGCCATTGGCATGCAGCCGAGTGATTTGGTCGGTTAAATAAACAAGGTGCTTCTGCATCAATTTATATCACCATTGTGCAGAAAATAAAAATAATACATAAAACTCATAAATCAACTTTAAATACATATAACTACTCTTTAAAATTAAATTCTTCCGTTGGTTCGAATTTAATTATAAGATAATCAACATCATTATATCGGAAATTTGATAATAAAATACATTATTTTAGTTTAGGAGCATTTCTTGGTCCTTTATCTACTTTCTGAAAAATTGATCACGTTGGTGTAAAATTTATCAGAGATTTAAACTTTAAACTTTAAACTCATTATAATATTGTTATCATCGACGTTGGTCAGAAAATAACAATACCATAATTTAACATAAACCAATCGGACTACTCCTCTAATTTAAATTTTTCCGTTGGTTCTAATTTAATTAAAGGATAAACATAATCATAATTTACTAAAAGTATCTGCTCTTCAAATTAAATTCTCCCGTTGGTTTGAATTTAATTAGAAGATAATCAGCATTAAACTTTGCAGTGGAAACATGAAAAAATAATTTATCTACTTTTCAGAAGTATTTCACTGTACTCATCTACTCTCTGAACAATTTATCCCGTTGGTTCAAAATTGAATAGAGATGAAAAACTAATCAAAATTTGCTTCTGAAAATAAATATACAAATTCATAACCTTTACTGTGCATTCAACCCGACCCTTGAGCGCCATGCATGTGTTAAACGCAAACAACAGCAGCGCGGGCCCAAGATTCAAACAATCTGCGACGCTGCTGTGTGCCTCCCAGCGCCAGCCGCAACTGGGCCATGGCCGGGATTTCTCTGGCCCGTCTGGGCTGAATCCGGTCTGACTCGCTCTGCACCGTTGATTGCAATCGGACGGTTGTCCGACCATCTCGGCCGATCAAAACCGCCCGCGACCGGCTCTCCCCGAAACCCTAACCGCATTCGCTCTCCCTCCCTCTTCTCTCCTCAGTGCTTAGCGCGCGGCGCAGCAGCGACGGCGACCCAAGGCTGCCGGAGAAGAGAAGGCCGGCGCCACCACAGGACTCCTCACTAGCGCGCGCGTTCGCCCGAGGGTGAGCGCGCCGCCGTCGAGCGGGCTTGTAGTGGTGCCCTCGGCCGGGGCTCGCGCGCACGGTGCGGCTCGGCCATCTTCCCGCGTGCCGGCGAGGCGGTGGCGGGTCCTTCTTCCCGCGCGACGGCGGTCGAAAGGTGGGGAAAGAACCTAGGTAGGTCCCTTCCTCCTCTCCGTTCTGTGATCTAGGGTTAGGGTTTGGGAAAAACTTGAAAATCTTTGAGCTTGTTCTAATTTCTTTCACCTTTCTACCCCAGACTCGAACTAGCCGCTGGTGGCCGTCGGCGATGGCGAGGAAGACACCGTCCGGAGCAAGTCCAGCTCCCCTTCCTCCTCTTCTTTTCTCGCTCCTCCTCCCTTCTGTTCTATCCCTGCACAGAGCGAGTGAGATCTCGAGAGGTGGCCCGCGGCAGGAGGAGGATGACGGCGCCGCCACGAGGCCTCTTGCCGGTGCGCCCGCCTTCAAGGTGGCGCGCGCTGGCCGCTGCAAGCGACCGTGTGGTGGTGCCTGAGCTCGCCCGCACCGCCGTGAGCGGCGCCCGTCGCGGTGGCTCGGCTTGTACTTCCCACACGGTGCCGTCCGGCGCCAGGCGGTGGCGGGCCAGCAGGGGGGAAAGGTAAGTCCCGCCGACCCTTTTCTTTTCTCACTTAGGGTTTGGGCTAGGGTTGGGGTTTCAACCCGATTTGACTCGATTCGTTCATCTCCTTCTGAATGCTGAAAACTGATACTACCCCGGGCTAGATCTACAACCTAACCTAGCTCTGATGCCATTGATAGATTTCTTGGACCAACTAGGTGTAGATCTAGTGGGTAAAACATAACTTAGATAAAGATGACTTGCTGATGTACCTCACCAAAGGGGGTCGCGGCCATGGCGCCGCCGACGAGGTAGCAGCGACATGGAGGCGCAGTCCAGTGGCGATAGCGAAGACGATGGCGCTTCCCGTCGCTTATAGCACGCCGTATAGATCGAACTAGGGCTAGGAACCTCGGTGGGGTGCTGGCGGCTACGGTGAACCTCGTGTCTTGAGCCCCAGCTCTCACCTCCTTTACATAGCGCTGCGCGATGGGGCCCACCAGCTAGGAGAGCTGTTGGGCGCCCCCGATCAAAACACGAGTCAAGGATCTAATTGGCCGTTGAGACCAAATTGGTGGAGATCAACCTAACACCAGGAATATACTGCTTGATGCGCGCCAGGTTCACTGTCCCAAAATAACACAGTGCTAACTATAGTAACGTCTATGCTGGGCAGGCGGTTGGTTGCTCGCGAGAGGCGCCTCCGTGACACCCGGTCGCCATGCAACCGCGGAGGCCGCGCGCAGCCACTCCATTGCCGCCTTTTAGAGCACCCCGGCTGCACCACCCTCGCCTCGCCAAAGTCCGCAAGGGACCTCCTCTCCTCCGTGCTTGCGATCGCACCGGCCTCTACTGCGACCTTGCGAAAAAGCTAGCTTTCCGTGTGCGTGTGTCTGTCTGTCTATCTGACATCGATCTCCATGACGACGACGTCCCCGCGCGTGTGTCTGCTCGCCATGGCGCTGGCTCTCGCCTGCGTGCTGCTCGTCAGGTCCGCCGACGCCGCTGCCGCCGAGGGCTCCGCGTACGGGTGCAACCCTGCCACGGACAAGACGTGCAAGCCCGAGGGCGTGGGGGTGGTGCTGCCGGGCGGCGGCATTGACCTTGACGGCGACGGCGACGAGGACGAGCTGCCGCAGTTCGAACCCCACCTCACGATCCTCGGCCATGCCCACTGATGAGGGAGTTGGTTGGACGACATGATGTGCTGTCACATTTGCCTTGTAATTTATGTTGTTAATTTGAGGCGAGAGTAATTAAATGGGCATATATATGATGGTAATTTATTCACTGTGTATTGTTTGTTCAAACTTGAAAGTGCACTGATTCAAGGGTAAAAACTTAGGCCCGGTTTAGAACACATGATTTTATTTCTCCTCTTTTTATATGTTTTTCTTGTGAAATTGAACTAATTTTTGTGAGAAATTCCTCTATGAATATTTCTGCGTTTCAAACATGTATTTATCTTCAAGATGAGGTGATAACTGGAAGTGGATGCCTCTTTTGTTTTAGCTGATTAGCCTAAATTCTTCGTTCCAAGTTCGTCCACATGAGATACAAAAGGCAACATGCCAAGCCAGTGCGCTATTCTCAATTTCTAGTTGAATTTACAAGACAAACAAGTTAGATATATGTCAAATATTTGTTAAGTTGCGATTTAAGTTGTATTAAGGTTAGGATAGAATTGGAGTTGAACTTTATATCCTAGAGGAGACCATAAATATTAGGCAACTCGTGTTGTAACCAGGAGACATATGGTAGGTAGCATATGAGAGGACATTGGAATACCAACATCGTTGGAGGCTTTGGTAGTGCTACATGACTCTTACTGCAACCAGCAGCTAGCGCCGGACCCTGCACAACAGCATAGCTAGCACTTGTCGAAAGCTGCTTTATTATATCGCACTCTTCTATATATTTCTTGAACGGTTGAACCCTATCGTGAACGTGATAATCTCCGGCCGATCCGATTGTCTTGCTTGTGGCTGGCAGCAGGACGGTAGATGTGAAGATCTATCAATCACCAGTCGGTCGATTCGCGCGTGCCTTGATTTTTTCTTCAGTCTAGCTTAGCTATAGGTGACGCATCCATAATTGCACATGCATGTTAGATGAGCACTTGTAAAAGAGAGATAATAATGTGATGAGAGAGGTGGAGAGGACGAAGAAGACGCGGACTATTTAGCTATCCGTGACGAGCAGTATTCTGCTAGATATATAAATTGCATGGTGGATGGAGCGAGCGATATTGGTGAGGTTCAATCAGATGATGTGTTTTAAATTTTGAGAATTTTTACATGAAGGTGAATCCAGTGACTGATTGAGCCGCGCCAATATCACTTCCTTCCACCATAATATAAATACACACATAATAAAGAGAAGATTGCAGCGTTTACTTCCAAAGGTTAGATCAGTCGTTACTTCATCCTTTCCAGCTTATTATTGTTTCTTATATACACCCTTTTATTCTTCTTTCCTTTTTTCTTTAGAACAAGCAATTTTTTGTTGTTATGGGGACACAAACGTCACACGGCCAAACAAGCTACTAATATAGGAATATATGAATTATTAATTATGTGTGAGATTATTTGTGATGAAAAAAATTAGTTGTGATGAATTTTCACTGCAAGTGGTTAGCATAATAGCATAGGGTAATCCTCACATGTGCCTGTGTTAATGTGTTGTTTCTATATGCTCCTCCCAGCATGTGATTAGATAAACACCCATAGTAGTCAAGTAGTGTAGGTGGTTTGGATACCGACACATATGCACATGCTCCCCGTCTCAAAATGAGTGCACATCTCATACTTCAGGGTTAACAAATTCTAACTTTGATCAAGTATATACAACAAAATATTAATATTTATGATACCAAAATAAACATCATTAGATGAATTACATCATATATTTTTATATTAAACATATTTAAAGATACAAATGTTAACAGTACTTTCTAAAAATCTAGTCAAACAAAAGAATGTTTGACTCCTCGAAGTCCGAGTTGTGCACTTATTTTGACGGGGAGAATACTCACGAGACAGCTGCGTGAATAGTGCTGTGATCTTGAGTCATATAGTGAACTTGTGTTCATAAACAGTTTCGTGTTTGTTTGTGTACACATATATGTTGCATAAAGGTCAGGCGAATATATGGTTGTGATAGGATTAGAACTAGGCTTGGAAGGAAATAATTAGGGTTCAGAAGTAGGTTAAACAAGGAACTAAGACTGATTAATATGATCAAGGAGAACGTTCGGGTTAGAGGTATATAACTAGGCTTGGAAGGAAATAATTAGGGTTCAGAAGTAGGTTCAACAAGGAACTAAGACTAATTAATATGATCAAGGAGAACGTTCCGGTTAGAGGATTATATATATATATATATATATATATGGTGACATGTTCTTTTGAACGTGTACATATTTCGTTAAGAAGAAGTAAGTGTAATATAAAGTTGATGCAACCACATTTAAAAAAAGTCAGAAAGAGCAAAACCATAGTTTGGGAGGAAAATAGAAAAACAACAAGGAAAGAGGATAAAAAGGGTCTAAGTGTTTACACTCAAATTTGGCCGAAAGAGATTAATTTTGAAAACAGCCTAAGCCAGGTTTGAAAACCAGCTATGCCAGCTTTGGTGACTTCCTCAAAATGTAGAATGGACTCCCCCGGGTTTCTCTTGTTGAGATGATAGAAAAACACATATAATCATCGATCTTGGAGTTCGTATGAAGAAATTAGAGTTTCTAGAAGAATCACCCAGCAGGAGCCGGCTAGGCCGGGTTTGTCCAGTGCAAATAAAAAACTAGGAAACATGTGGATTTCAATCTAGATTCATTTTTTAGTGGGACAAGATCAAACCCCTCTTTATTTATGAGAGGTCCACGGTCGATTGAGATACCCAATGAATCAAAAACAAAACCAATCTACTATTTTACTTTATCGCTTAAACTATACTTTTCAAACCCTATACTTGTTGTTCTACGTGTCTCTCAACGAGATTGGTGGCCAATCTAAGTGGCCTTGCCGACCCTAGATCAACCTTAAGCGCACCTCCCCGATGGGTATACTAGAGAGGCGTTCATGGGATTTCGCAACATTTCCTGCAGAAATCCGGGTTCTAAAACTGGTTAGGTTGAGTTTCTCAGGCTCGCTAACAACCACCGCAGTGCGTGGCACGAGCGTTCAAGCTATCTCGGTGTGTGATCAGAAAAGACGTCAACACTAAGATATTAGGACAAGGGTTTAAGAAATTAAAGGAAATCATAAAAGAGCAAGGATCTTGAAGGCTGGCCCAAATGGCTGTGAAAGGGAAACCGACTGTAGGTGGAATCTAAAGATATGATTTGGTGGCCAGCACGAGGATCTTGAAGGCAGTTTGAGCCTAAAAACCCCTTTAAGTTTTCAAAATCAACCCAGCGCTCTAGACGACAAAAACACCTCGTATTATATCTTTGGGCAGTGTGGAATTTATCGAAAATCAACTCGCGCTCCCCGTAAGCACATCCTCGATTTTTCTCAAATCAAAATACATTTTTTTCTCAAAAATACGTGGGTCGCAGACAAGCCTGTAGTGAAGCACGATTTACTCAGTGGGTAGATAAGTGTAGCCCAACAGGATCCCTTAGCCCCTAGTCGGACGAAAAGAATCGCGCAGGAGGCTCCCGGCATTCGCCAAAAAAGGCAGCTCCTGGCCCAAAAGCAACAATCGACATTCTCGTTTCTTCTCACTTTTCAGCCTGCGAAATTGCGAAACCAACGGGAGGAGGCAACTCCCAAGTGGGCCGTAAGACCATCGACCGTGGTCAACGCGGTGGCCCAGCCCAAAACCCACCCGAACCGAACCGTCGCGTTCTGCGGGCCAACAGCTCACGGCCGCCGCCGAGGGGCTCTCTCACCTTGCCTCCAACGGAAACGGGCAACGGCTACCGTTCGCTGCCCCCGAGGCAGCCCCTCTCCTCCCTCCTCGGCGAAACGACAACCGCTACGGCCGCGCCGGGGAGGAATCCAACCGAGCCGTCCCCACGCCGTTCCTGGTTCGCTGCCGCCTCGAAGAGCCTTCTCCTTCACCTCTCCCTCGATCGATCGGCTGGTCTCACGGGGGGCTGATCGATCTCTCCGCTCATTCTGTCGAGGGATTGGTTGGTTGCCGATTCCGTGCGGCCGGGGTTGCGCGGAATTTTAGGTTTCTCGGGTTCGCTACATGCGTGTGCGATGCCGGCCAGCTCCCTCCCGGCGTCCCCCGACGCCGCCGGCGACATTGGCGCCGCGCTCGCGCTCGACATCGAGGACCTCGCCGTCGGCGGCGGCGCGGACTGCATCGGCAGGCTCTCCTGTGGCAGACGCAGCAGCTTCTCATACCGCCGCCTTCCCGAGCCGCGCCTCCACCTCACCGTTCAGAAGCTCGACGACTCCTTCTTCGGTACCCTCCGGATTGATCCTTTCGCTATTTATTTTCCCTCTCTAAAAGGGATTGTGGATTTCTGATAAGATAATCGTGGATTTCTCCACGTTTTGCCCGCGTCCAAACAGACATTGAAATCGCGCGTTCGGCCACGGTGTGGGAGCTGAAGGTGGCCATCGAGAACTTGTTCTCCGACCTCTATGACGACGCCCAGAAGACCATCTCTTGGTACGCGTCCACATACGCCACATACACACGCTCTCCCGTGATGTGATGGATTTTTTTCTGATTTTGTTTATCTTTCATTGCATGCATTGTGACGGTCAGTATGAAAACCATAAACTATTGGGTTTGCTTTTTGTTACCACAAAATTGTGCTTTGTGGCTGTCGATTTCAAATTTGTTGAGGATGTTGGGTTAAATGCGACTCTGAAATCTGAATGATGTTGTCAACTTAAGCTTCAAGGTTGTTGCTTGCTTGTTGTAGGAATCACGTGTGGAGTCACTTCTGCTTATGCTTCAAGAACGAGAGACTGATTGATGACAAGGCAACATTGCGTGGGTTTGGTATAAGAGACGGTGATGTGGTACATGCGCTTTCGTAAACAGCCATAGGTTCTTGGATGCATTTTTCCTTTTAGTGCCGACTAATTCTGCTCTGTCTTGTGAGATAAGCCAGAATATTACTTATCCTCCTTCATTTACCAAACAGAACCTTTATAGTTGGTCATAGACAAGATATATGGTACAAAGAGGGTGTGAGACATTTGCTCAAACAAATGCTACATTTTAAGTTTATTTGTGAAGCACAATCCCCCTCTTCCCCTGCATCTGCACATGCACAACAGTAATACATGCTCAGTTCCTTACTTCCTTCGATTCAGGTGGACTCTATTGACACCAGTTGAGAGCTATGATCCTATTGTACTAGACAGTAACCGTGATACAGTCATCAACTATTCTGTAGTAAATTTTTATCATCTACCGTATTACATTTCTTGATTTGGAAGGAAATTAAGGATGTCATGATGATCTGAAATATGTGTGTTTGCAGTACCATAATATGCAAATAGAAAAAAATCCAACCATCACTATCAAGCCAGTCTGCTTGGATGATCAAATATATCACACTTTTCTAGTAGTTTTTATCATTTATTTATGTACTTTTATATCTGACATTTGCTACACAAGATTGAAATCTCATTTAAATTTCACATTGTGATGTAGCCTATCCTTGCTTTCTGTGCCATGCCTTTTCTTATATTTTCTCCCTTCATGCAGCTTCATTTTGCTCAGCATCTCTCTGTTGACTACAGCCCATGCAGGAGTCTTCCCAAATACCAGAAGGAACCATCTCATACTCACAGAAGGTATACAATATTATAAAGCCCCTATTGAGGCCTTTTGTCTGCTTCATCCACACCTCTTCGATTTCCAAGAAGTGCGAAATTCTATATGCTGACATCTGCTAACATCACAAATGATATCCCATTGTAGGTCAAGGACTTCGTTGGATGGTTACAGGCTAGTGAGTTTGTTGGATGATCTCAGCGAAGATGAGGGTGAGAAGTTTACTAATAGCAGGTGCTCTACGAGTGTCTTAGAAGATCCTTGTGTTTTCGAGTACAATGAGGTCCATGAGGAGCACGTGGAAGAAGAAACTCCCAAGAAAGGAAGTCTGTTCCACAGATGGTTCTCTTCCTCTAAACTGAGGAGTAACAGGAGGACACATGCTGAAGACACCGTGCCACTATCTAATGAGAAGAAAAATGCTCATCCAAAGCTGGGGAAGTGGTTCACCTTCAAATTCTGAAATGGGTGTTGTTGTTGTTCTGTCCATACACGCTCCTCCATTCGGCGCGGCCAGCTGAGAAGCAGATGACATGATTCCTTACAAACTTATCGAGGACTAACTTAGGTGATCACACGAATCCATACACGCTCCTCCATTCGGCGCGGCCAGCTGAGAAGCAGATGACATGATTCCTTACAAACTTATCGAGGACTAACTTAGGTGATCACACGAAGTTTCATGTATATATGTGTATGATCTGAGTTATTCTTCCTTTTAAGAAAATCAACGATCTTAATTATTATGCGGTGCGATGAACAGAACTGTTTTGTCTCATGAGAAACAACGACTGATGCTTCACGCGGTACACATTTTAAATTTGTTGTGCATGGACAGGCATGTGGGCTCATGCAGGTACGATCATTAAACCTAAGTGCTTGACAAAAGGATTTCACACAACAAAAAAACAGTTTCTGTGGAATTTGGAAAGTTTTGCATGTTCTGGAGAGTGGGCCTTAGTGTTGAATATCTTGACTCATTGTTCTTACAACCAAAGTCATTATCCTGTTTTACATGCAACAATCATAAATAAAACCCTTATAAACATCAAAGGGAAGAAGGGCGGTCCTGGTGCAAGCGGTAGAGTCTTACCGCCAGTGACCGAAAGGTCCTAGGTTCGAGTCGTGGTCTCCTCGCATTTGCACAGACGAGGATAAGGCTTGCCACTGACACTCTTCCCCAGACCCCGCGCAGAGCGGGAGCTCTCTGCAATGGGTACGCCCTTTATAAACATCAAAGGGAACAAAAGTTGTTCACCGTATCAGATATCAAAAGCTATGAGCATCCCTTAGGATTTAGGAAAGAACAAATGAAACAGCAAAAAAGCTAGCTAGAAGAGTAAATTAAAAGAGAAAATCCTTGATTAATGATTACACTTAGAGAAGACTTTGAATGAGATCCAGAGAGGCAGGCCTCTACCAAAAAAAAAACTACTAATGACCAGCTCCTCGCCGGCTGGGCCCGGCCCTCGCGACGACGAACACCGGCAAGTTCGCCGTGGAGAACCCGGCGCCGCTGCCGCCATGCAAAGGCCTGGCGCCCTCCGCCGTGCTTAGAGCGTAGCCGCAGAGCAGCAGGAACAGCACCACAATCGCCACACGAACAGCCAGCAGCCGAGACGACCGGAGTAAGGCCATCGCCCTAGCTACTCCGACTCCGGCGACGGCGGCGGCGACGACGGCGACCTTTGCACTAAATGGCGTTTTAGAGCTTTTGTGAGAGGAGTTGTTGAGAAGGAGGTGCAAATGGCGTTTCTGAGCTTTGTGAGATGAGGGTGTAGTAAGTTCACTTGGAGGAGGGAGGGAGGCTGCTTAAATGGTGGGCATGGCGAGTGCATGAGACGTGTCCGGCAAGGACTTTGAATGTGCGCGTTCGCTCGCTCGCGTTTGGAGATTTTGGGAGTCGACAAATGGAAAGCGAGTAGGTTAGATCTCGTTAGGCTGCAACCACTCGCTACTTTTGGACCGTGAACCAAATCTAGCTTGCCTTTTCTCCTTCCAATTTGTTTCCTTCGGGTTGCATTGCGTCTACACGTCAAGTCTCGAGCCTTGACCCGTGTGGATGTGCTTTGTTTGTTTCTGAGTACGTACGTTACTTTCTTTGCAAAGAGGAAACTGGTTCATATGATGATTATATATTATAGTATAGTATATAGTACACTAAAGTCAGACTGTATTTTCGATTAAGGACGACCGTACCAGATGTTTGAAAGTTGAGAGAATGCTGTGTGCTCTGCTTGCAGTGGAAAAACACGCCGTTGCATCTCTGCTAAACTAAGTGGTTGGTGAGGATAGAAGTCACGCACAGCTCATGCGCTAAGAGCACTAACATGGCAATCTTATGTATATCTATTCTACTAGGGCAATGCTACGTATTTCCTTTACTTACAAATAGATTTTTTTTTCAGGTTACGGAAAAATCACAAAAAAAATCACGATGTGCAATAAGATTGCTATGGAGTGTTGGTTACTCAAGTCTCCCATTTATTCCATCCCTTTGCCGGATAGCAAAGCTAGCCATAGCATGCACCGTGTGGTCGGCCGGTAATGCTGCTAGATTTTGCCGTGCTTTCTTTTCAGCTTAATAACCTTTTGAACACTTTTGTGTCATCTGAATTGAATGAGACTAATGAGTCCGCTCGGTTCAGAGTTCAGACCGTTCAACGTAGATAGAATACATAATATATCGTTTTTAACTTTTCCCCCCTTTCCCATGAGAAATTTACTCGGAACGTTCGTTCAGTAGTAATAATAAATCCAGTTGTTGAAGTTATCGTCATATATCTTTGAAATGCTATGCACCTGTGACATATATATTCTTTCCGTTGGGTGAGGAGAGATCCTTTGGCCGGTTCGCATGCATGGTTAGTTAAGATTGCAGCGATGACGACCAACAAACCCCATGCTCCTATGTCCTTTAGACCAGGAGCAGTACGGTCAGCACCTGGCACCTGTCTGCGGCCCACCATCCTATCCCAGCCACCGACCGCGACGTCGGGCCCGATCGACGCGAACCCACGTCGATCGCGGACTGCGTACGCGCGTGCGCCGGCCTCTCGGTCGCCCGCCTCTCCGCCGAAAGAGACGGAGAGCGAGGCCGGCCGATCGATTGAATTGCATGCAGTCGAGCGGAACCCACGCGGGGAACCATCGAGGTCGGGTAGGTGCTGCAGCTGCAGTAATAAAGCACCGGAAATGCATGCGGCTTTTTGTTCGTTCTGGCACGCCGGCCCGCGCCGCGGCTGTGCAGTGTAGTATCTCGTTTAGATTTAGACGGCATGCAGGACGTTCGGCGGACGTGGCCCCGCCGCCCGGGCCGGTGCCCGCCGGCCGGCCGTTCATTCCCTTGCTGCTCCTGGAGCATTTGGTTGGCGAGGCACATCTTTCTTTCTTTTTTCCTATAGAAATAGAGCAATTTGAATTTTGAACACAGCAAGCAATGATGCCTAGGCATCCTTTTGGCGATGATCATCATTAGTACTGAAAGTTGTGTGCATAACTAAATAAAGAGCGGGCTCTCCCCATCGCCGTCATATTTTTTTTTCCAGCATCGACCATATATATGCTTATGATGTGGCCCGTGGGTAGTCTTAAATATACGTATGGTCTTTGGAAATCTGTAACGTTCATCAGTCTGAAATTTGATTTGCGGCAGGCACACGGACATGGCAACCTCATCGTTAATTAATAAACCTAAAAAAGTTGCAATTAACGTTCATACAATTGCAATTGCTACTACTCGTACGTATTTGCTGGCTTTGCGCTATCTGGATGAGGCCCAGTCGGTTCAGTATATGTTGTGTTCAACCTTCAGCGTCGAATCGAATCTCTATCCCCTTCAAAAGAGGGAAATAGTGGGAACGACTAGCTTAGGTGCATTGGTCCACGGCTACTGGCCTCCCTTTCTACTTCTACCATTATCCTTGTGTATCACCAAAATGAGACCATAAATAAATCTTAATTACTCGTTGGAGCATGCAGGTCACTTTTGATATAGGAGTACATGTTCCTTTCTTGAGGTAATGAGAGATGGATCTTTTTGTTTGTTTATATTAGTTTCATGGCAATCGTCAGCAGAGCAGGTAGCTACTAGGATTTTTTTTCACACTTTTTAAACTATTTTTAAAAATGACACTATTTTTTTTTTTCAAAACTAACACTTTTGGCCGTGCCTATTCGCATAGCGTGGCGAAATAACGTTGCCGCGCCATGCATGGGGACACGGCAGAGCGGCGACATGGCAGCGACCAGGTCCGCTGAACGATGACGTGGCCGGGGCTGCCCCGCCGCGGATCTGGGCACGACACTGACGCGCCACGATGCATGACGCAACAAGGCCCATCACAGGCCCGCGGCAAGGCCTCTTCTTCCCTTTCTCTCCATTCCTTTCTCTATCTCCTCTGTCTCGTCCGCCGCCGCCCGACACCGCCGCCCGCCACGACCTTGGGCCCTCCACCGCGCCTCCATCCCTCCCTCTCTCTCCCCATTCCCCTGCTCAGGCGAGGCCGCACCCCCTTGGTCGCCCGCGCCCTCCCTTCCTGTTTGCCCGTACGGGCATGACCGGGGGCCGGCGAGGCCGCCAGGAGGCCTCTCCGTCTCCTGGGGTGATCCCCTGAAGGTCCCCATTGTAGCCAAGGTATTTCCCCTCTCACAGACCCTGAATTTTGTAATTTTTTTTTGAATAAACTGATTAGGGTTAGTGATTTAGTTTAGTTAGTTAGTTAGGTTTTAGGGTGTAGGTTGTATGTTGTAGTCTAGTTAGGGTTTAGTGTTTGGTTAGGTAGATTGGGTTTAGATTTTTGTTAGTTAGGATTTAGGCTTTAGGGTTTGGTTTGTTAGTTAAGGTTTAGGTAATTCGTAGTAGTAATTGTAGTTAGTATACATAGTATTTTTTTAGTGTTGGTACTTAGTTAAGGTTTACGTAATTCGTGGTACGACGATTTGGACGACTTGATGAAGTTTCCTCAAATGTTTTTGTAGATGGATTGTTGTGTCAGAGTTTTTTACGGAGGAAGTGTTAGGAAGGAATATGATATGTTTGAGGATATGGAAGAAGAATTGGAATGGTTTGATGAACCTCCTGGCTTCAACGACCTTTGTGTCCGTTTGAAGGGAAAGTTTGGTGGTGATTTCACACTGAATGGGAGGTTTGATAGTGGGAAGACTAGGGCACACTATGTGCTGATGCCCTTGCGCGACCATGCTCACTGGTCCAACTACAATAGGATAATCCAAAGTTCCAATGTGCCCATGGCTAAGGTGGTGGTGGAGAATGGGTATAGGATGCAGGGTCTCTCAGGACAGGCCGTCCATTGATGGTGTTGGAGGCAATGAACAAGAATTGGGGGTCGAAGGAAAAGCAACTCAGGGTAACCTAGATTTGGACGATCAGTTGACACAGGAGTAGCTTCATTCAACTCCAATGGCAGTCGATGATTTGAGGCAGTTCTCAGTAGGCTGTAT